AATGGTGGTTATTCTATAGAGGTTCTGTTCCAGAATTGCAAACTCTTGTAATGCGCATTCTTAGCCAAACTTCTTCTTTTGGCTGTGAAAGAAATTGGAGTTTGTTTGAACGCATCCATACCAAAAGACGAAATAGATTACAACATCAAAGATTGAATGATTTGGTTTTTACAAATTATAAGTTGAGATTGAAGCATAGGTAAAAATTAGAGTTTTGAATGGCAATGCTTTTATATGTGATGTTTCTTTTCTTTTCTTCTTATTAGTTTTTCCTCTACACTATCAAAAGTGCTCACTTATATGTGATATTTGTTACAGTGAAAGGGTGGAAGTTTGATGCTGTATCTAGGCATTTTTTCCCCTCCATCTATCACTCAAAATGCTTACTTTCATATGATATTTAGAGGATTTAAACCTTGAGTTATTGATGTTGTTAGATAATGCTTACGTTCACGTGATAGTCATTTTTTGCTTCTTCCCTCTCCATTTCAACCACGTTGATTGATGTAATTAAGCATCCTTTAAACATTTCATAAAAAAAAGCTGACTGTTTATTTTTAATGGCATGGATAGATTATTATTATCTTAAAATTTAATATGTGGTTTTATGTGCTATTATGGGGAGATGAGCAGCATAATAGATTCAAAATGCATGATGCACGGGGAAAGGATTACATGTACATGTACATATTCATATGTTTTGCGCGCGTCTCAGTTTCATGCAACTTTTACCTAATCTAAAGCAACTTTTAATAATGCTGTCTTTTTATTATTGTTTATCATATTTAATTGTTTTATTTTTTTTCAAGGAGTCAATTGAGGAAAAATAAAAGTTATGATCCCATTGAATTGAGGAAAAATAAAAGTTATGATCCCATTGATTATGAGTCAATTGACAAAGTTGACTTTTGGGTGGCTGAAGAAGAGGAAGAACCAGCTCCTAAGTTTGATTCTCAAGATGTTGCAAATCTTGAAAGTGCCATTCACAATGAAACCACAGCTGCTCCATCAACCCTTAAGAGGGATTATGAAGGTTTATTAAATCTACTATCATGTCTAATACAAGTATATGAATTTCTTTCTTAAAATGTCATTCATTAGTATTAATTTTTATTTGTTGTAGGTGATGAATATATGAATGTTTTAGAGTCCCCACCTTTGCCTAATGTTGCTAGTGGTTTTGGTTTTTCTTATTCAACTTCTAATGTCTCAATGCCCAGAAATTTGAATGAAGTTAATGATGATTTTGGTGTTGGTGAATGTTAGTTTTAGACTTTTAGACTTTTTAATGATTGAAGGGTTGTAATTGTAAAAAATTAAGAATTGATATTTGAAGTTTTGTATTTTATTATTGTTGGACTTTGAGTGGTTGAATTTAGTAGACTTTTTTATAATTAATATCTTTTTATTTAAATTTTATTATTTTAATCATGATCGGTTTGTCACCGGTTTAACCCCCGGTTAAACCACTAACTCGTGACCCAGTGTCGTGACCGGTTCAATGACCGGTTCGGTTTTACGTACCTTGGTTATTTGCAAGGATTTGGAGCAATTTAGAGCTTGATAACACCTAAGAAAATTCTTTCGAGATTCCTCCTCCCATCCTCTTTCACTTTTCTCTAGATGTTGAGTTAGGGTTTATTTGAGTAAAATGAAGTTTGATCCATAAAGGCTATAAGTTTGAACCCATTGACTAAAATAGAGTTAATAAGAGTTTTTTTAGGTTATTTAAACCTACCATTGATGATTTTACAACTACTGGGTTGGTGGAACCCGTTAAAATCTAAAAATGGCATTTATTAAGGTTGTCGGAAGAGTTGAAATGTCATTAATGGTGGTTTGAGAGCATAATGATGCTAGTATGAGCTAAAGGGAACCAATAAATCCTAGGGTAATCCTTGTATGTGAGAGGAATTAGAGTTTTAAGAGTATTGAAAGCGTCGAATATGATGTTGGGAATTATTCTAATGAGGACATTAATGATTATTGATGTGATTAATTGTAAATTAATCACAATTTGACACCATTCGAGCTTTAGAGAAGCTTTAGAAGAAATTGTATTGAGGAGGCAAACATTTAATCTCTCAAAAGTTTAAGATAAATGAAGGAAATTTAGTTTGTGAATTTTTTTGTTAATTGGTTATAAATTGATTTGAAAATGTGAGTATGCTTTTGGACATATAAAGGAATTCAATTGTGGCATAAAATGAATGTTCAAAGTGTTTATTGTGAAAACGAACTCGATTGTGTGATATTATGTTTTAGACTTTGCTAAAGCATGATTGGAAGGAAATATGAGTTTGGAAAATGATGAATTGTATTGGGAATATATAAGTATGAAGTGATGAGTATGATAAGTGTGTGTCTTATATCTACTTGATGTTTGCAATTATGCATGCTATAAACTTAATATTTGAGAAATTAAATGCAAAGAACTTGATAAGTAAAGGTACATACTAGAATAAGTATGAGTTGCACTGCATAATCATATCTGGCAGGAGTTCACCCTAAGGGAAGGAGTAGTTATTATAAATTCACATGGTATAGCTGCCATTCAAAACTCAATGGCTTGCCTCTTTATTGATACAGTCCCACTTGTTCTTTGGGGATTGTCCCACTTGTTCATCGAGAAATTCAAACCTTACTAATCTCCATCAGTTTATGAGGAAGCCAGCTTAAAGTCATGATACCTTATAGTTGTTAATATTGGGGGGAATTGTAACTCACAAGTGAGTATAGTAGTTTTAGCTAGGTAATTCCTCACAAGTGAAGGGTTGAGATAGTCTGTTCAACTAGACGAATCTCACTAAATAATCACTGATTTTATGTTAAAGGTAATAGAAGGGTATAAAGACAACATTGATCATGCATATCATGTAATGGCCACATGGTTGTTATTTTTATGGCCTTGCATATCATTATATGTGAGGTCTCCAAGGATTTCTTTGAGATCAAGTTTATATGTGAAATTACTTTAATACCCTCTGTAATTTAGAAAGTTGTGATTTTCTAAATTATTTTAATCATTTATGGAACCAAATTTGCAAATATTTATACCAAACTTGTAAATCATATAAAATTAGTAAGACTTTGCTAATAGAAAGTTGTAATTTTCCATTTTTTTTAATCATTGGTGGATTCAAACTTATTGTAAATACTTATGCCAAACTTGTGAACCATATAAAATTAGTTAGACTCTATTGATTGAAAAAAATTGCCAATAGAAAGTTGTAATTTCTTAAATCATTTTAGTCAATTGTGAAACCAAACTTGTAAATATTTATACAAAACTTATAAACTATATAAAATTAGTTGCAGAGGGTGCTAAAGTAATGTTATAGAGAAATTTAATCTCAAAAAATGTCTAATGAGACCTCATTATTATTATTACATTTCACATAACTAAATTATCATTTTCCTATTTCAAAGGGACTTATTTGTCATTCTCTTTAATTATTAATAATTGGAGGAAAGTATATAAAATCCTTAGGAAATCTAAAGGAATACAATGATTCTTATATTAAGACAATGAGGATAAAATTTCACAACTCAAATAACATAACAATTATTATTATTTTTTATATCTCTTACCATTAATTTCATTCAATTTACTCACCTGAAAAAGATGATAAAGTAATTACTTAACACATTAGTCAAATTTCAAAACTTTTAGAAGATAACAATTTAGATAGATAAGAGCATTTTATTTCATGGCATCTAGTCATTTTTAGCTAACCTCAATTTTGAATTTGGGTATACAATTAATTTGATACTCTTTTACATAATTAATTAATTATTATCATAAAATTTATATAGTCTAAAATTTACAGATGAAAAACACAAATCTATGCGTGGATCTTAAGTTTTCATTCATGAATTAGTTTAAATATTCCATTTTTACATGCAAGCTTGCAAGTTATTTTCACAATATTGTAACATGAATCAGACTTTAGAACATTTGGAGACAAGTATTAATGCCCATTAATCAAAACAAGAATATTAATTGTATTGGCTTGATTCATGAATGATTTAATAAATCATGAATGAGATATGAAAATACAATATTGTACAACTATTGAACGCATTAAACTTGCATTTTGATATACAAATAATTTAGGGAAAACGAAAGAATTTTAGTCCTTTATTTTGATGTACAAGTTTAAATTTTATCAATTTCATCTTTTAAGCTTATTCCTTATTTATCGATTTGTTTCTTATTGTTTGAAAAGAAATTAGAACCATTAAACTATGCCAAGCTGAATAGCAAAATATTGAGTCGTTAGCCACATAGATTAATAAAAAGTATTTTTTAAAAATAAAAGAATAAAATACACTTTTCTTTACACATCAACATGCCAAATCATCAGCCTACTTTAAACATTCATAAAGGACCATATTGATAAATATTAAATTAATTTAACAATCAAATCATTCTAATGTAATCATATTTATACCTGACAAATCGTCAATATAAATACTTTAATTTATACATCAGATTAATTAGAAAGTTAATTTGTGTTTCAAAATGTAAAAGGCTTAAGTGATAACTTGTGAAAATATAATGGACTAAATTGATAGAAATTAAATTTAAAGAATCAAGTCGATAATTGAGATAAATTTAAATAATTAAAAAATTTGATTGTCCCAATCATTTATGCATGATTTTTTGCCAATTTTCCATATCTTTTTTTCTATTTTGTACAGAAATATCTTATTATATAATATATATATATATATATATATAACCAAACATTTTACATGGATATCAAACTCTTCACTACTATATATCTCCAAAACTCTCTGAAATGACAACATCTTCTAAGATTTATCTTCTCTCCTTCACAATCATCTTCTTCTTCATTTCAATTTGTGTGAAAGCTAAAGAAGAGTCTTTCATAATAAATATCATACACCGTGATTCTCCAAAATCTCCACTATTTGATAACACAACAACTCCCATCCAAAGAATCCATAATGCCTTGCTTCGATCTGACAAGCGAATGAATTACTTGTTCCCTAATAAAGCTAGCACCATAAACGATGATGATCCACGGCCGACTCTGGTTGGCCAAGATGGAGAATACATCATGGAGTACTCCTTGGGCAATCCAATGTTTGAAACATATGGTGTCATCGACACAGGTAATTAATGTTTCAAACGTTTCAAACATATGAAACATTCAGTCCCTAGCATTTTCCCCACCTTTTGATTTGTCCCGCGAAGTTTAAATTTCGACAATCTACTTGATTCCTTATATTTTCTTAAGTTATCACGTTAGTCTTTTAGGCTTCAATATACAAAATAGTCTTCAAATTAATATTATGTGTGAAGCATGTTGAGACAAATTTGAAAAGCTAATGTCTTATTATTCGTAAAAACAAAATTAACGAGAACTTGTTGATTTGTGGTGTGACAATAACAGGTAGTGACTTTACTTGGTTACAATGCTTGCCCTGCATAAGATGTTTTAATCAAGGTGACTTGGACTACTTGCATACTGATTTTAACGTGGGTCTTCATGCTGTGGACTGCACAAGCCCACTATGTATACAGATTGTGAATCCATCGGTGACAGAAGTCTTATGTGACGCTGATAATTGTCAGTGTAAATATATGATGGAATATTCTGATGGTTCAACATCAGCTGGAGATGTGTTTCATACTTTACTCAGACTTCAAACAACACCTGGTAACTATGTGGGATTTCCTAGGTTCATATTTGGATGCAGTAGAGAAACGACAGGTGATTTTTCTACAATAGCTTCTGGCATTATTGGCCTCGGAAGAGCACCAGCATCAATGATCTCACAAATCTATGACTACATTGATGGAAAATTTGCATATTGTTTGGTTCCAATGGGCCAAGATGCAGTTAGTGAAATGAGGTTTGGTCAAATTGCTGTTATTTCTGGACCAGGTATCATTTATACTCCAATGATTCCGCAAATCCTGACAAGTGATAACTATCATATTTTGATGGAGGGAATTACAGTGGGAGACGTATATGTTCCTTATTTAGAAGGTGATGATTGTGAATTTATTCCCACGCATGCATTAATTTGGTCAACATTCTTTTATTTTTTTTATTTCTAGTTGATGGAATAATTTAACTTTCACTTCATATATTTTATCTAAATTATCAATTTAATTCTTGAACTAAACTTTGAATTAGTATAACTCAGTTATTGTACATTATTGAGTTAAAGAATTGTAAGAATCGAGTTATATGAGTGGAGAAACTATAAAGATTGAGTTGTTCTAAGGTTAAAAACTATAGGGACTAAGTTATCTTATGAACAAAAGTTCAAGGATTTGATTAATAATTTAGGAAAATTTCAAGAAACAAAAGTGATATTTTCCCATAATTGATTTAGTAATGGATATAATAGTTTAATTAACATTTAGATATAATAATAATAATAATAATATCTTCTTGAAAAGAAATAATAAGAGCAGTATTTATGTTAGTATTTTTATATTAGTTTTGATCATCATTAATTTATCATGATTGTTTCACTCACATCCTTCCCAGTAATATTTATAATTTAAACTTAATTTCATTACATTTTTCATATATAATTTAATTTCATTACTTTTATTACTCCAATAGACTTATTTGGTCTTTTTTGTGTTATAATTCTGAATTATATCTTTTTTGTGTAAGGCATGCATAAAAATGACTCATTTTGTGTTAATTATTTTTTTCAATTAATAATGAAAGTTCATAATTATTATTGTATCATTAAATTCTTAGAATGTTTATTGTATATTCTTACCAACGAATGGCAAGATTGTTAACTAGTTACATGTTTATCACAGCAAAACAGTTGTCAGAACACTGCTTAAATAATTTTTTTCATCATTTCGCACATCTATATGGTTGGTTATTTTGTTGATCAGATTCACAAAAAAGTGATAAAGTTAAAGTTTACTTTTGCATGTGATCTCATATTTTTTTAAAAAAATAATAATAATAAATGCAGGTGATACTATAGCCAATACAGTCATCGATTGTGGGACAACAGTGACTAGACTGCCAGAAAGATTTTACTCATTTCTTGAAGGACAAGTTGCAAGACAATTGGATCGATTATACAGACGTAGCAGTGACCCAGGAGGATATTTCAACCTTTGCTATAAAAATATCAATGTGGAGAGAATTCAAAGTCCAAGTTTTAAAATTCATTTAACAGGAGGAGTTTTGGAGTTAAGGGCAGAAAATATTTTTACTATGATTGGTAATAAACTGTGCTTTTGTTTTAAACCTTATCCAGGCGATAAAGCTGTCCTTGGGACCATTCTTCAGGCAAATTTCATGGTTTCATTTGACCTTGAAAGGAAGAAAATTGGCTTCAAGAAAATGAACTGTGCCTTCCTAAACTAATATATATATATATATATATTATATTGTGTGATGCATGAATTAATTGCTTGTATTCCATGAACAAGCAGGCTTGTCTTAGCTTCTTCTTTTGAATAAAAAGTTTATGATCTATTCATTAGTAGTCATTGTTTATGTTCCCTTGTAGTTAGCTTCTTGGAGGCTCTTGATCCTCTCTACTAGCAAAATAAATGTTGAAAGAGCATTCATACACAAGAGAATGTGATTTTGCATGGAATCCAAGTACATATCTATTTGAGCTAAATATGAAATGTCATTTGCCAAGGCATTTGAGTAGGCCATAATGTCATATGAGCTAAATAACTGAAGAGTCAGGCCCAATCAACAATCTAAACAAAAGGGCCAGCCCAAGTCTTAAGAGAAAGCCTCAGCTATACAAGCATGTCGAAATACCGTCAATTGCGAACTCGCTTCATAGACCGTTAGTAAATAACACCACATTCTAAATGGGCCCCGAGTCTCCTAGAGATATGATCATTATTCTTGAATATCTTGGAGGCACAAGCTAGCTACTAACTAGTGAAACATGTTAATAATAGACCGTGCGCAAAGAATCCCTTATAACTCGGAAGCACGTTCCAAATTCTACGAGGGCAACTGCCATAGCTCTATCACTATGAGGATCAAACTAAGGAAAAGGGATGAACATGACTCCAAAGACTTACACTTTGTACCCATAACTCTTAAATTTATCAAATAGTTTTTATACCTTTTATTCTCATCTCAAATTTGTAATCATTTACACTTTGTAAGCCTTCAGCATTAATCACATACTTGTTCTATCAAGTCTTGTGTATCTTTTATATTCAAGTAAACTGTAGTAAGGGAGCCTGAGAACCCTTTGTCATCAATTGAGACTCAGCATCTTTGGCACCCCTAGTCATTTGTTGTTCCTAATGAACAATTTGTGGCACCCCTGGTGGGACCAATTGTAACATTCCGAAATTTTAAGACTCGGATTTATAAAAAAAATAAAATAAAATATCTATAATTAAATTAAAATTTAAAATAATTTGATAGAGGCCTAGAGTTTGAATTTTACTAAGTAAAAGTTTGGTTTTATTTGATTTTTAACTATGGGAAAAATTACCAAAGTTGACCCGGGCTTTTGTGCAATAATAAAAAATGTTGGGTCCTTTCTTGTAATTTGCCCCAAAATGTTTTAGCATCAGTTTTAAAGAGCAAAACAGACCAAAAACGCAGAGAAAATGAGCAAGGAAAGAAACGCACAAACGGGAGAGAGAGAGAGAGGAAGAAGAGAAGAGAAAGGGAGGGAGTTAGGCTTGGATCTAGGAGTCTTTGCGACCGTTGCGAGCTCGGCTACACGATAGGTAAACTCCCTACTTCAATCCTCTTCTCTTTCTCTTGATTTTCTTCAATTTTTGGAAGAGGAGATTTTTGGATTTTGATCCCAAAGGCTTTATTCTTGTAAGCTTTTGTTTCTTTGGATCCTAGGGAGTATGTTTTGAGTTTCTATATAGTGATCTAATGTTTTGAGTGGATAATTGGATGAAAAGAGGTGTTTTGGGCACAAATTAAACCCTGAGAAATTGGGTTTTTGCTCTTCAATGGTTTAAACTTATTGATTTAGTTATAATTTTGCTATTTGAGCCCAATAAGATTTAAATTAAGGTTTGGTTTTCATTATAAGGGCTAATGGTGAAAGTTGGTGACACTAAGTGAAGGTTTTTAATTGATTAAAAAATTATATAAATTAAAAATTAGCCTAGTGATGGCTAATAAATGGTTTTGGTGGTTAAGTGATACTATGTGAATGGTTGGTTTAATATATGGACCATTAGGGTGGATTATGACTCATTGACCTAAGTTGTGTGGTATAAGTTATAGTCTTCATTAATGCTATTTGTCATGATAAGTGATGTGGATCACTTATATGTTGTAGAAAATTGTTGGTGGAACTTATTGAGAAGTAAAGAACAAGCCGAGCCCTATTTTGTACAAAAGGAACCCTTTTGGTACCAAAGGGTTGAGGTAACAGGGGAATTTATATTTCTTATTACTTTGTTTTAGCTATTTTTGAATAAATATTACTAGTTATCATGCATTACATGTTTTAAAAGATTAAATGTGCTTTATAAGGGGTTATGGGGTACTACTTTGATTATAGTGCAAATATGTTTTCTAATTGTTTAATAACAATGTTTTTATGGAAATGAGATTTATAAATATTATACTACTTTAGAGTGTTGAATGGTCAATACTCAGGAAAGGTAGACAAGAGTAAAAGGCATGATCTCGGTGGGAGTTCACCAATGAGAAGGTGTGGATTTTTGATATTCTATGGCACACTGTCAGTACTCAGTGTTGTCTTACGTATTGTGGGCTCAGTGCACTAAAGTGGTTAGTGTATTGAGTGTTCGACACCTCTCAGTGGGGGAGGGAATCCGACATATGAAGTGTGAGGTTGAGTGCCTAGGCCAAGGTAGCCCTCACATGGAGAGTAAGTCGGGCTGGCTTTGGGAGGGAGTTAGCTTTGACTGCTCAGGATTCACGTCGAAGGGGCATAGGCGGTTTGGTGGATTAGATCATGCCTTAGATTATGTTTTGTGCCTGTGGAGGTACAAGTAGGTATAAGGTTTACCTGCGAGTTAAAGAGTGCCAGGGGGCATTCTGTTGGTCATGAAAGGCCATACCGGCCTAGGTCATGCATTCATACATTTTAAATGGCTAAATTATATACTATGTTAAATTTATTATTCATTTATTTGATTATGGCTTACTTTGTAATAATCAATGTAGATTTCTCTATTACTGAGACTGTGGTTGTCTCACCCCTTTCTTTTCAATATTTCTAGGTCCAGGTGAAGGATCCAGTGGTGGACGGGGAAAGGAGCAAAGCTAGGGGTTTGCTTGTGATTTGTAAAGAACTGCAACCCCTTTCTTTTGAGCAAATATATTGTAATGTATTTAAGATTAGGGTGCCAGTAGGATATGATTATGTGTGTGTGTGTGAATATGTGTGGATTGTGTGCTTGTGTATGAATTTTTGTCTGTTTGCAGACTTGTGGCTAGGAAACTTGGTTATGGTGTGTGGTTTTGATGGATTTACTTAGTAGACCAAGTTTCTATTACAAGTAGATCTTTATTTTGATATATATATGATTTTATAAGCAAATGCAAAGTAGTTGCATTGCAAATGGTGTGCTATGGGAAAACATACAGCTTGGATAGAGAGAGTGGGTGCGTGGGCCCCACAAGGAGCTCTGAGCCAAGTGAAAATGTTTAGCATATGTATTTATATAAATACATGGTATTTGGATTGATTTGTGACCACTCTTGTATGATTTGTGCATTTTGGGGGTTTAGGGTCCATTTTGGGAAATGGCACCCGGGTGGTCAAATTTTGATGTATGGGGGTTTTCCATCATTTGAATGTTCTATCAGGTGTTTTTAATCTTATTTGACGTGTCCAAAGTGTTTCCACAAGTTTGTGACCATTAGGATGGGATTTGGACAATTTTGAAAATGGTTTTTACCAAAAAGCTGCACTTTTGCATCCGGGTGTCCAAATCTTAATCCGACTGTTGGATTTCTCAAAAATTTGGGTCACAAGTAAAACCTTTTATAAGCTTCGTGTGGACTTTGGAATCACGTCGATCGGATATCGGACGGAGAAACGACGCACTCCGGAATTTGGTCTGGAGGTGCTGTCATGACAGCATTAAATTGCTGTCATGACAGCTACAGTATTGATTTTATAACCTACACAAAATTCAATCCGTCCGTTGGATCTTTTCAAAATTTAGTATGCTAATAGTATTCTTTAAAAGTGACATGTGGGCTTTGGAATCACTCGATCGGAGGTCAGATGATGAAATGGTGCACTCCGGAAGTTGGTCCGGAAGTGCTGTCAAGCTGTCATGATAGCAAAAATAATCAAATTTTTAACATGTCTAATTTTAAATCCGACCGTTGGATCTTTTTGAAATTTGGTATACTTATAGTACCCTTTGAATGTGACGTGTGAGCTTTAAAATCACTTTGATCAGAGGTCGGATGGCGGAACGACGCCTCCCAGAAGTTGACTCGGGAGGGTTGTCATGATAGCAATTTAAATGCTGTCATGACAGTATCTTTTTATTTCTCTTTCGTCTAACTTGCTTCCGTGCGCTATAGTTAGAACCTATAATTTTTTTAAGGTTTTAAATATTTACTTTGCAATCGTATATTTGCTTAGTGATTTAAATGGTTTGTTTCCTAAGTTGGTTTTAGGATTAACTCCTTAACCACACTTAGTTTATTTGAATTGTGTGATTTTTGGATAACACTCGGGGCAAGTGTTACACCTATGTAACAAGATGATGAGGGTAAGAAAAAACAAAAAGATTGATAAGACAAGTGCTAGTTCCCATGAGCCAGAATGAAACTCTACACTTGTAAGGTTAGAACTATTAATGCCTGAAACTGAGACGATTGGACATCATGAGGTTATAATGCTGATGACTATAAGTAGCAATAGCATAAGTCCTAGGGTAAAACCAAGAAGTAAACAAGTAAACTTGCTAATTATATCTAACGGTCTAGCAGCATAAGTGTTATGAGGAATCCAAGACTGCATAGATAAACAGCTAAAGGAGAGTCAGAGGTGCTTTGCTATCTCCCTAAAAATGTCAAAACGTAGGGAAAAGGAAAGATTACAACTCATGATGCAGGCCTTACGTGATAGAATGAGAAATATAGCCCCATCACAAAGAGGGATACCTCTAGAGGCAAGTTCAAACTTAGGGCTACATGGAGGACCTCAAACAAGGGCTAACATGACAAGCCCTTAGGACTGTATGAATGTAAGAGACTATTTTATTTCCTAAATTTGTACTAACACTAACTCTTTAAATCCCTTATATTATTTGTAGGAGCTTAGTACAAGTGGCTTGAGGGGCATAGGATTATCTCAGAATGTCAAAATGAGCCACAAAATCAGCTGGTGAATATGGAAGTTCTAAGGGATACAGTTCAAGACATATACAACCTGAGATTGAGGCTGATTGGCTATCTTACTTTTTCAAAGCCCTACCTTGAACATGTAGATAGAGATAACCTATACCCTTAAGGCTACAGAATTCTTGATTTCACCCTCTTCTAAGGAGATGGCACACAATCCATGTTGGAGAATATTGGAAAATTTACTATCCAATGTGAAG